GAGAGTCATGCAAGATACTTGTTTAGGTGCACTGCAAATCAGGAGACCTACCCCTCTTCAAAAATCCAAGGCTGATTGTTGTTATTTTTTTAAAGATAGGGCTCTTCAACTCGGTTTTGTGGGCCCCCGACACAGAACACTATCTGCCAGAAGATGGTGAAAATAATAAAAATTAGTAGAAACAGGATTATCAGGAGTTTATGGGATGCAGAATGTAAAAGGACTAGCTAAGATTTTTTCTTCTCACTTGTCATGCTGTTGCAGAGTAAGAGATGATTGGACTTGGGCAGCATGAATGGGGCTGGAGAGCATGTCCCCATTCAGCTCAGGCATTACAGTCCATCCAGCTCTGGTTTTGGCAGTTTCTATCTTCTCCCTCTTTCAAAACTGCTGATCTCATCTCTGACTTACCATATGGTAGTCACTGTGTATGTGATGGGGTCTGTCACTCACTCTTTTTAGTGTCTGTGTCCTGGCCCCATTATCCAAACTCTTTCCAGCTTGTCTCTGATATATTCCAGCCTGATTCTCTTCCAGAAAAGCTGTCTGAAGAGCCCTGCTGCGCAGGTGTGGGAGTATTGTGGAGGTTAGAAAATACAGTGCCAAAGTATGCTGAGCTGTGTAAACTCTCTTTGCAAACTGCCTGCAGGGCTCACCTGCAGGGTGGCAGGGCAGGCTGGGCTGTGGAAAGGCTGGGTTTGCTTTCAGAGACCGCGCTGGTGCTGCCTGGTGGGCTCCCACTGGAGAGGGGAAGTGTCCATCCACTGTGTCTGGGGTTGGCAGAGCTTCAGGACCTTGGGCTGCACCCCATGCAGCTTGCAAAGTGAATCAGCCTGGTGCTGCTTCCACATTGACATGGATCCAAGCAAACAGGAGGAAAAGATAGTTCGAGGTATTTTAAATTTCACAACAATTGATGCATAGCATGACCATCCCTCACTGCTGTGCATCATAGAAAAGTCAAGTAAAGGATAACAAAGAATTAATTTGCCTTTACTTCCCTGTCCCTCAAATACACAAGTGAAGATTTGTGGAGCAACTGCAATGTGCAGCTTGTGCTGCTGTTTCTAAACCACTTAATTGTGCTGGTTAAATGGATTTGGAGCAGCTGAGGGACAGATGAATGCACCCCCATGAATTTAAAACAGGCTTTTGTGGCTTTGGCATGAGTGGCAAGCTAGCTGCAGTGCTAGCTTCTCCTGTCTTGCAGTGCCTCTGTTTCCCCTCTTACCTTTGCATCTGCCCCAGGGACACGTTCAGAGGCTTCCAGGTTTGTGCTACAGGCTGAAACACGGCTGTCACACGGCATCAGCTTCTCTGCTAGTGAGCCAGCATGTTACACCAACTCCTACTTTGTACATTTTCACTCTTGCATCTGGATCAAGGCCCCCTGAATGTTGGGGTTCCTCTCTAATTTTTACTATTTTTTGAGGAGTTCCTCCTAAGAAACAATCTCATTAGGTCACAGAAACAGTTCGTCTTTATATGTTCACAGCAGGCTACTGCAGCTGAGTGGCTGTTGTCGTTCCTAGTAACTTAATTTTGCCTGTCAGAAATAATCACTCGGTACAGAATTTCAAGAGCTGCTGCTGAAAAAAACCCATACAATTTCAAATTGTGTGCATTTAAAAAAACCCCATATCCTCATGTTTCATGTGCTCAATAAACTGTACTGAACTTCCTCTGAAAATAATTCTTCTTACTAAAAGAAGGTAGTAACTGTGACTTAAACTGTATTTGTAAATGCATATGTTTATGTAATGCAAAATTATATACTAAGATATAGGCAAATATAGCAGTTTGGTAAAGTTATCTGTAACAATGGCCTTTGCCAGCTCAGACAGGTGCCGTTAGAGGAAAAATATTTAGATAAGACTATTATTAATCTCTTTTTCTGGAAGAGCCTCACTTTTTTGAGGTATAAGACAGCTGGCATTTAATTCCAAATCTAACCCAAACATTGTCCTTCCCATGCCCTTTACAAGTCTGATATCTGAAATTGGTGGGTGTGTTTTGCCTGGATTTTAAAGCAACCTGAAGCTGCAGGCAGTTGCTCCGAAGCAGCAGTGGCAACCGTGGCTTTGCTGCGGCTGTGCCATGTGCAGGAGAGGGGGTTTCTGCTGGCTTGCAAGCTGTGCTGCCTCTGCTCACAGGGCTGGAACATGCTGGGCCTGTGGGAATTGATCAAGAGTTGGATTATGGAGGCAAAATTCAATTGGTTATGATGATAACCAAATAATACGTGCTTAGACAAATATACCACTCACATCAGCTGATCTCCTGTGAGAACTGGAGTGCGTAATGGAGATGCAAAAGAAGTTGATTTTTCTTATACTCAAATGTGATATTACATTATTTATTCTGACTCTGGACTAGAAAATGGTAAAAGTTTTTATGTAACAACTATCAAGGAAGATTAGAGCTAAGCTACTTTATTTTTAAACCTCTTGCAATGGTTTTTTTCTACAAGTATTTAAAAAAGCCAGTACCATTTCCAAATATATTTTTGAGCCTTTTATAAAAATTGTATTTTAACCATTAAAGGACTTAAGATAAACAGTAAATATAAGTAAAAGATAAAATAACACTCAGGGAAGAAAGACATCAGAGTGTTTCACCAAGGGAAAGAAGAGTAGATACCACTGCAGGGAAGCCTGGACATTGGCAGGTACAACCATATAGCATGACTTGAAGGTATGTTTGATTTGTGTGTGAAGAGGCATCTCCTCATTGTGGGGAAGGTAGATTAGTCAGTTGTTTGCAAAACACCCACAGGAGATGACCCAAGGGGGTGAGAAAAGTGAAGCAAACCTCAGTGGGTTGTTTTAGCCCTCTGTCGTAGGTATGTTTCACTGCTCCATTTGTTTGTTCCTGCAAATCTGTGATCACATGGGCTCCTGAAGACTTTTAAAAAATAAATACTTTGCAGGTTAAACTTAAGGAGGGAATTGTAGATTGCAGAAGTACAGACCGGATGAATAAATGTGAGCAGAGGACATCGATCAAGGTTAATCATTGTGAGAGGTGCTGGGCTGATTCACCCACAGTGATAGTCTCACTGACTCACACTTGCATTTGTTTTTTTCTAGAGGACAGTAATGAGAAGAAATCTATGGCATTGGCATATTTCTTTGCACATTGATTCTAAAAAAGCATAGCTAAAGAAAGCAGCTGAGAGTGAAAAATTAATGAATTAATTACATTAATCCTGTCCTCTAAATGAAGTTACTATTTTCTGAAAAAAAATTAACTAATTCCCTCTACACCTCTGACCCAAAATGTTACAAAGCTAATCTGGCTTTTTCCTCTGTGTGCACAGATGTTGTGCAAGTGTTTGTCCACCTTGGCAGATTTCAAAATACCTTGAATCTTAAATTTAACTCAGAGCCAAGTAAGTGAAAACAATTGCTGTGTTGATAGTCTGGGAAGGCACAGGGATTTTTCTTTGTACCTCAGCATTAACAGGTCTGTGACTCAATAGATCTCTGTAGGCAAGGAGTTTTTTGTTTTCTCTTGCCAGTTTTGAACAAGCTCAAGCATAAAGAAAAGCAAATGTTTTGGTTAAAGACAATATAGAAATTAAACTTCTGATACATTAGTGTTGGGTAAGAGAGAATTCCCATAATGCAGCAAGAGATCAGCTACTTCCCTACATCTAGTCATCAGCACCTGTCTGCATATTTTATTGATGGCATAGAAGTGATGTAAGCACTAAGCTGGAATCTCTTTCTGCTGGAAGATGAGCTCCATTCTCAGAGTGGGTTTGTTAAACAGGTTCTTCCTAGGAGGTTTATGGGTAACAGTGACATCTCATTTGGACTGCAAGTCTCAGTCCATTACTACTAGATGATCTACACCCACTGGGAGGGAGGGGACATCCAGTGAGGTGAAAAATGCCAGCTTGGTCTCCGTACAGGCAAAAAAGGTCTCTAGTGTCCTCTGTGGAACACAAATACCACACTTCTAGGTGTAAAGTTTTAATTTAACCTGTGTCCTGGATAATCATTCAATGACTTGTTTTATTTAGTTATCACTTCCAGCCAGGCTTTCTGCATAGGTATTCCAGAGTGACAAAGGAGCCACGCTAGCATTCATGCTACTTGATTTTACAAGGTTATTTATATTTAACTAGCTGATGGAGAACCACAGAACAGTTGAGGTTGCAAGGGACCTCTGGAGGTCATCTGGTCCAGCCCTCGAGCAGTGTCACCTAAAGCAGGCTGCTCAGAACCATGTCCAGTTGGGTTTTGAATATCTCTGAGTATGGTGACTCCACACCCTCTCTGGGTGACCTGTGCAGGGTTTTTCTGTGTTCAAGTTGAGCTTACTGTATTTCAGTTTGTGCCTGTTGCCTCTTACTCAGTCCCTGGACACCACTGAGAAGGCCCTGGCTCCTTCTTTACTCACTCCTATCAGGTATTTATTACACACTGATGAGATGCAACCTCAGCCTTCTCCAGGCTGAACGATCCAGCTCCTATAGTCTCTCTTCATAGAGATGTGATTAATTGGTAGAAACTGTTTTTTTGCAGAGGAGGACTGATTTTATTTCCTAGTGGTTCTCCTGCTGTCTTTTTGTATTAGATCAGATTTTTGTCATAAGCTTAGGTTGAATCAAAACCAACAGATTGGCTTCAGAGACTAACTGGAAACAATGTTTTAGAAGTTCAGTGTAGCCCACATAGAGAATGCAGAGAAGAAGAGCAAAGGAAAATAGATAATGATCCTTACTCCCTGGCCACTCTAGAGCTGGGAGATACAGATGTAGCCTAGAAGTCCTTTGCCTCAACCAGACATAACATCAGACTTGGGTCTCAATCCTGAGACTGCTCTGAACACCAGCAGTAACCCACCACAGCAGTTTCTTTGCTTGCACTGTCTTTGCACTGAAATTAGTGAAAGGGCAAATTGAAATGGATGGCCCAGTGGCTGCATCCACAGGAACATGACTAAGTGTTTGCTTTTCTTTTTTTTCAGAACATCAGCCAGAAAGATATCGCTCAAGATTGAGTATTTTTGAGTAAATAAAAGATAAAATGGCGTCAATGTTGCTTAGTCGACAGCTGACCTGTTGCCTGCAGCACAACTCCAGGCTGCTTGTATCTGGTAAGTGGTTCTTTTTATATTTTCTTGGTTTGTATTTGGTAAGTGTTTATGCTAGTGGAGAAAATTCCAATGTCAGCGTAGCTGGGGTTTCTCTGGTGTTGTTGAATCTTTCCAAACTTAAAGAATATGATGTTCTGCATTTAGGTCATGCTGCAGTTGTAGTCCAGAAGTGGCCTACAAAGATGCTGTGGATTTTTGTGATGTTCGTTTTGGTTTTTTTAATTCTACAAACAAGGACTCATTTAGTTAATAATTTGCACAGTGAGCATGCTAACTGAAACAAAGCTCTTCAGCCTTTGGAATTCCACTCTTGCAGAGCTAACTTCTGATGCTACATAATGTAGAGGTGAAACAACCATCCATCAAAATTAGCCTATTTTGTCTTTGTGCTATGTAGTTTGACCCTACCCATCTTCCCGAGTGGGGAGGTTCTGTGTCACTGACACAGAGTTTTGGCCCTTATTGGGCATGTGTGTTTCTGCCTGCAGTTAGCCCTCGTGTGAAATAAAAACCTACCACACAGCATCAAGCTGCTTTCTCCCAAGTGCATAACAAGTTGTTCCTTGGCCCTGACTTGTAATTCAGCATATTAAGCCTTCAGTCTCTGTGAAATAGATATAAAAACTAAGTTTTGTTGGACAAAGCAGTGTAGAATGTAATTTCTAGCGTCCGTTTAATGTTCTTTTATACAGAATACAGTGTGGCTGGATCACTGTTTCTGTGACAGAGTAAATATTAATGTTTCTTCTCTTGTCCAACCTTTCTTCTGCAGTGCCACTGTGCTCCTTCTGCCACTGCCAGGCAAACACAGAACCCTTCTGTTTGCTCAGAAACTTAAACATGATTGATTTATTTTTAAATGACACACTTTGGAGAGCAACTGACCTTTCGCTAAAGAACACAAAGCATGGTCTTGTAACTTGGATAAGTATTAGGTCAGCATTTCAGTACAGGATGTGCTTCTCTTTGTGGGAGTGACGCACTTATTATCTCTGCTGTGCAAGAGCCATGATCATTTGGTCAACAGTGGATGATGGAAAGTGCTTGCAGCAACCAGACCAGGTGTCAGTCCTTGGAGCTAATCTGTCATCTCAGCATCACTTAATGCTTCCTGTCCTGCACACTTCTATGCTTCTTCCTCACCACATAGACAAATACACTGCAGTTGTGCAAGGTACTTGAGGTCACTGGAGGACAGATGTGCTAACTGACTCTTCCTTTCTCACCATTGCAATCAGGGAGTGTAGATCTTCAATAAGAAAGGAGAGCAACTCTGGACTCCATTAATCCATCCTTGCTTGCAGAAAACTTGTAAGTGGGAAAGTCAGCTGGATGCTGCTATGACTGTTGAAGAACTGATTTGGGATTATGCTCTGATGGAGGGTGGGGGTGCCTGTTCTTACTTTTTCTTACGGGAGCTTCTGATTCTGTACAGCCTGTTTGGTATCGGATTTTGTCTTCATCTTTGGAGAATCCTATTCCAAAAAAACCTCCAGTATATATGTGGGAGTACTGAAACACAGACAATCTCATGTGGAACAGCTTCTGATCTCACAGAGTAATCACTCTCTAAATAGCAATCTCAGTTTTCACAATATTATGCAACAGCAGTGTTAATTTTCCAAACATCTCTAGCTAGCCTGGCCTTTTGCCATTCCGCTTAAAGATCTGTTAGTAACAGATTCTACTTGCAACACCTAAAAGAGGACTTGGGGGAAATCACAGTCCTACTTTTGGCTGTCAGGGCCTCCACACTCTAAACATTTTGTGTGGAAGGTGGTTTGATAGACATTGTGGAGTGGAGGTTGCAGGCATGCATGGCAGACTGCCTTTCTGCACTTGCACAGGGCAGCAGTGCTATGGCAGGTGTAATGTGCCTTCCTGGAGTCTGGGGAAATTTCACTTTACACCCTTTCACAGCAAAAAAAACCCCTTGATTTTGAGAGATCTGGTGTGCCAGCATTTATTTTCACCTATCTTCTTTTTATTTTATTTTTTCCCCTTGGGGTAATTCCTTTTCTTAATGACACTTACATGATTTCAGTGCCTCCACTGGTAATATGTGGATAATACTGAGTTGTTCTACACTCTGGAACTGTGATTACATGAGGTTTAAGCACTTTCTTTGTAGGCCTGTGTTGACCCTAGCTCTTGTTAGCCAAGATCACTACTTAGCACAGAGACCTGCTACCAATAGTGCTCTTTGTGACTACCAACATCATAAAATGTTAGCAGGGTGCACTTGCATTAATTATGTTGCTATAGCAATGTGTTACTTCGTTAAAAATTGCTGAGTGACACACCTGGGGAGTGATGAGGGCAGCATAGACAAGAGAAGTTGGAAAATAAGCTTTTCTCTCTGCTAGCAAATTACGGCATCCTGTTAGATGAAGAGGAAGGATGTGATAATTTGCTGACGTTACTCCATGTTTAGAAAGATTATCTGTGTTGCATGGAGCTTTGAGAAGTCTGTAAGAAGCAAGAGAAGCAGAATTTAACTTATTTTACCCACCCTCTCTAAACTGGATAGGTAGAAAATTCTCTGCAAATCATTCAGCTTTTTGATAATTCAGCTCAGTAATAGTACATATATTTGTGTTGGTTTTTTTTTACTTTTGCCATGATGTGAAGAGATAGCTGTGTTTACCAGGGAAAAGAGGGTGCTCTTTTTGGCCATATTAGCTAAATGTAATTTAAGAGCTTTCCTAATGCTTCTTCAGAGTTGGGTCCTCTGCTGTAGCCCATGACTTCTACACACTTGTAAGACGAGAGCTGAGGGCATGTCATTTGGTCCTGTTTTTAAGTTAAGCTGATACAAGAAACCATTTTTCTGTTGTAGTTTGATCACAGGCCTCAAAAGAAAATCAGTGGGTTGACTTGGTCAATGGGCTCAGGAGCATAACATTAATTAAACATCTAGGTACTGATTTATATACATAGTGTAATATGAATTTAAGCATATTAACATAAAATTATATTGACAAAATGTATCTGCAAGGATCATAGAATCATAGAGTGATTTGGATTGGAAGGGACCTTGCAGATGACCTAGTTCCAATCCCCCTGCATGGGCAGTGACAGTTTCCACTAGATGGACATGTCCTAAACTAGGATCTTTAGGCCAATAATATATTTTTTTCTGAGCTTCCATCCTTTCTTTTGAAGACATTTTAAAACTAAAAAGCCACCAAGCCATGAGGCTGTCTGCATGGAGGAGTTAGATCAGTACAGGTACATCAGTATCAACAGTGACAGCTTATTATGTGCATACGTTATCAGTCTGTCAGTGACAAAGTAATAATAAAAACACACTGTGAGATTTGTTGGAGAGTTTCAACTCCCCAGTTTGGGGAAATACAGGTCTCACTTGTCCCTTGTGGCACTTCTGTATTCTCGATCTTTTATTACAAAGGTAAAGCTCTTATTTCGCTCAACTACCAGTCACTAGGGATTCTTAATTCTTGAAAGTACCTTGTTTGGACATAATTAGAATCTCCATTTTTATCTGTTCCATCTCTACTGTCTTTGGAGAGGCAAAGTGAAGTTCAAAACCAAGATATGAAGTGCAGAACTCTGAACTCATCAGTATCAAATTGGAGTAGCCTGAGTTACGGGGTTTCAGGGTTTCTGTTGCAGAATAGGATGATATTAAAAAGTCAAACAGGTATAATTTGGGCTAAGTTGTAAAGTACATTCAGTACCTTCAAGACAGAAATGCCAGCTGAGCAGAGCATGCTGCAGTTAATAGGGGATGAAACATGGCAGGGAGTGATTTGATTTACTTGCATCATTAGGAGAATGCAACAATGAGACTTGGGGTGGGTGGAAGTGAGAGAGGCAGAGAGTGGCCTTCAGGCTTTAATCTTTCTCAAGGTGAAACAAAGCAGGTATTGATGCTGCTGTCTGTGACAGTGTCCAAGTGCTTGGAAAAGCCTTTGCAGGAGAGTGAGCTGCTTCCAGAGCCGTGCTCTGTGTGCAGGGTCTTGGGTGCCAGGAAACAACTGTGCCCTGAGGTTACTTGGGGCCTCGAGGACGAAGTGTTTGCAGAATGTCCAGGGTGCCAAAAAGCTGCTGAGTCTTCACGCAGGGGGTGGCCAGGCCATCCTTCACCAGGGCTCTGGCATCTGTGCCTTTCAAAAGCAGTCTGAGCTCTACGTTTAGCCTGTGCGATAAGGGCAGTCTGTGAGACTGTAACAACATGGCCACCTGAAGGCGACGTGGCCATGGCACAACCTCTGCTCCTTCAGCTCAGCAGTGTCAAGCTGAGCAGGAGGCCTTTGCAGTAAAAACTGCTGTGCTTCCTTGCGTTTCATTTCCACAAGCATTTGGACAGGATCCAGAGCACTGAGGTAGCATTAGGCTTCAAAAGTCTGCAGCCATGTGGCAAGAAAGCAGTTTGCTTTCATGCTGTGAGGGCTTTTAGATGAGGGGAGCACTTTACATATGAGCGGCGGTGACTTGCCCTGCCGGTGTGTGGCAATACAGGTCACACAGGAGCTGGCCCGTTAGGACATCATAAACATTCCTAAGCTGAGTCCAATTTACTTGAATAAGAGTAAGCAAAGGGAAGAAAAGGGTTGAAAGGAGAGTGGCAGGGGAACCACGTTTTTGTGTTCTTAAAATTTGGGTGGCTTTATTTTAACCAACCCTGTGAACAAGTGTGCAGATCTGATGAGTAGTGAAGTGGGCTGTTTGGAATAAATCTGTTGACCTTGCTAGAAATGGTGTGAGTTTATGCCAATCATTTATGTTACATTCTCAAAGAGATAACGGGTAAGTTAAAAAATAACCCCACTTGGGTTTTAGCTTTTGCTGTCAAAGATTTCATTAGTATGTAGAGGTTTTGGGTTTTTTAGGGGTTTTGTTCTAGCCTGTATTTTTCATTCCCTACCTAACAGGAAGAAAAAAAGCACTTTTCAAAATCCTTTGATGTGGTAACACTGGGCATTTTCATTTTATTTATGGCAAGCTGTTCCTTCAAATTCAAACTGTAGCATTTGCCTGAGCTAGGAGGTGTAACACCTTTTTGGCAAGTATAAAGGCCAATAAATTGGTATAGCTGCCATTATACTGGTGTTAATAAACAGAGATGCTCTGTGGGCTCCTGAAAACAAGTATATAAAATGAAATTTGTATCCATGAATCAGCCGAGGAATCACTTGATGTAGAGCATGATGATGTGCAGCATCCATTAGGAGGTAACAAGCAAATGGAGGGAAACCTGTCACTTGTGTTGCTCATTTCTCACTAAGTCAGTGAAGCACAGCCATCTAAAAATGACTGTGGTTTGGATAAGCTGCTCCTGAAGCTCTTGTTTAAAAAGATAATGTCTCACGGTTTGATCAACATTACTAATTTGATTAAAAAAATTATTTAAAGCAACTCTTTTTCTGAGAAGACCTGTATGTTTTAGTTTCATTTGACTAGTCTTTGCTGTCTGTGAAAACCTGTTGATAGACATGAACTGTGCCAGTGGGAATTAGTGCAGCACTGCACAGCAAAGTACAGTTCATTTTCCATCACTGTGCACAGAGCAGGTGTCTAGTTCAACACACCTATGCAAAAGAGGCTATGGCATCAACAGTAGCAAAAAGATGATGATGATGATCCACAAAGCAAGCTCTGACTAGTTTGGGTCTTTGTTACACAGCCTGCCTAATGGAAGCAACTTCCTCTTAACTTGAAACAAGTTAGGACAACGGTAAAATATTCCCCAAATGAATTCCTTGTTGTGCAGCTCTGCAAATTTTTGTGTTTTCGTAGGGCAGACTGTGCCCTTTGCAATGGCCACAACAGAACTTTCTTAGAGAAACAATTAAGTTTGGGTTTAATTTAGAATCCTCATCTTTTAAAATATTTCACAGATTGTCCTTTAGGCAAGTGGAAGAGGGAAAGTCTTATCCACACCTCTCAGGTGATGGCCAGGAAATCTTTCACTGTTGGTCTCTGTTTCAGAGCCTGGCTGTCGGGCATCTTGCACATTTGCAAGAGTGGCTTGGTTGTTAACAGAAGAGGAAATTTTTAATCACTGTCCAAACAAGTGCCTTTTTTTGAGAACCTGGTTACAAAGACTAAGGAAAGCAGTGTGCTTGTGTAAGCTGCTGCCCTGGATGGGAGGATCCTGGGAGATGTATGGAGGGGCCATGGTGGCACAGGGTCTCTGGTGGCAGAGCACCAGGCAGGGCTGGGGAGAAGGAGGACCATGCATGCCACTTGTAGTTACCTGTCTTAAATTCACAGATGTGTCAATTCCAAGTATGTGCTGGTTTTCCGTATCTTTCCTGTTACTACTAACTACCAAAATATCCTTTATATCTTATGCCTCTCTTGGTGTTTTCCTCTTTATCATATAAAATAGTACCCCGAGCCTAGGGGGAGGGAGAGGACACAGGAGAAGGAGAAATGTTTGCTACTGGTTTGTTGTGATCTCCATCGGGGAAGGAAGAGGGGGCAAAAAGGGTTACAGTGCTCTCTTCACCCCTTCTAGACTTCACAGCATGTCTGCTACATCTGCAGCTTTGTTGGCTCTGAATTGTGTTGCCTTTGATTTTTTATATGCGGTAGGTTTTTTCCCAGAGGAGCAGCTGTCACGCGGTCTCCAATTTAGAGGAACGCTGAGCAGAACGACACAAAACTGAAGTGGTGTTGCTGGAACCAAACCTATTAATAGCTTTGCAGAGAGGCACTGGCGCATCATGGATATTGCACTTGGAATTAAAGCTGAAGAGAATGATCATCTTTGGAGATAAAGGTTTCCCAAAATGTGCAGTGAATTTAAGTGCTCAGTTAGAGATGTTTTGAAAAGGCTGTGATTTTTCAAAAAAAATTCTCAAAATCAGGCTTGCTTGAGACATCTCAACTTGGGCTGACACAAACCGAGGCAAACGTCTGTAATCACTGTTGGAAACCTTGGCCAAATGGCTGTCTCCAAAACACTGCCAAGCAGTATCATAGTATACCTTCTGTTTTCCTTGATAACTGTTTGGTTTATGTAACAACTGTTGTTTCCAAACAAAAAAAGCCTTTTTAGTACGTTTCTGAAATGCAACTCTGGCAGCTGAAGGTGGTGATGGGTGGCCAGGCAGAGGGGTCAGTGCTGCCTGGCATTCCCAGCAGCAGTGCTGCACCCCACTGCTTCTCCTGCACCCTAAGTTAACTTTAAGTTAAGCTAATGAAGATTAATTTGTTATTGGTATCATGCTGGGTAGAGGCTTGCAGGTGCTCCATGACAAAAATATAATTGTTAACAACATTAGTATAGTTTATAACTTAAACACAGTGTACAAAACAACCTCCTGCTGTTTACCTCGATAGAGCTCTGGAGTCTGTATTTCCTTTGTTGCAAGTGTCCAATTTCTATATTAGCCTGTAATACCCTTAATGGAATGTATACATATTAGGAATATATGCTAACCAAAACTCTGTCATATTAACTATGCCAAAATCCTGTATTTGGAAACAGTTACTTCAGAAATAGGAGCAGAGCCTGTTAGTGATAAAGCACGGGAGATTTTTCACCTTTTGGTTTCGTTAAGACATTGAATTTATTCTGAATCCTCAGTTACACATGAACAGCAAGGTTGGAGGCAGGATGCAAGGAAAAACTGTTGACCCAGGTTTCAGAGGTGCAATTCAAGATGCTGGGTTCATGTGAGATGTTGTGGTTTTGAGCTATTGCAGAACATCACAATGTTTTTCACCTGTGGACTCCATCAGATTTTTTGGGGTGTTCCATGTAGGGAATGCAACCATGTCTGCATGGGGAGTGAGGGATTCATGGCATAGGCTTGCTAGAGGCAAAATGTGCAGACTGAGATGGTAACAGATGTGCTAATTAGTCCTCCTGTCCTTTACAGTAGAATGTGCCTCTGTTTCCCTAGGGTTGCCTTGTCATTTCACTTGATTATATTTTTTTAAATCACATTACTGGTATTAGTTTTATTTTAACACTTGTCAAAGATGAGATATTTAGTTCACTTCAGACAGTACAATGTAACTGATCTCATCTGTTAAGTCTTCTCAGATACGAATATTTATTCTGAGAGGAGAGCACAGGAAGCATGGTCTGTATTCAGGTTTTCATGATGTCTTACAGGACACAGATATATCAGTCAAGCTGCAGCTAAAATCGATGTGGATTTTGATTATGATGGACCATTAATGAAGACAGAAGTTCCTGGACCACGATCTAGAGTAAGTTCCTGAAGCATAATGGCTTGGTTTTTTGTTTTTAATGTAGCTGTGTTTTACTTGCTAGCAAACACATGTCATTCGAAACCTAAATTTGATATGAATAAACATAATTTCACAACAGTCTAGGCACACTTTTATCAAGATGCTGAGAATACTAAACTTATGAACGAAATGCCTCTCTCTGAGAGAGATCAGTATCTCAGTTGCCAGCTTTGCCAACTTACTGTGTGAAGTAATGGAAGACAAAGAGCATCAGTTTAAACATCTCATCAGGCTTGGTTACTTGTGCTTCTGCTGAAACAGACTTAGTTGGCTTTTTATGATGTTAAATAATAGTTTTGATTTTGAAATGGAACAAGAGTTTCAGTTTGCTGGACATTATTTTACTCTGGCAGAGTCAGTATTTATATGTATGGTGGTTTGTAGCTATAACCAATGTGCCAGTATCCTTTTGGTGTGTCTCTGACTTCTCTTACTTTTATTTTCTGAGTTCAGTTGATTAATGTAGAAGAGGCAGGTTTCCCTTTTTGGAGATTTACAATTAAGCTGTGTATGCAGTCTGTGTAACTGTGTGTGCCACTGTGAATAACTTTGACTGTCATGGTTGCAAGATGCACTCTCAAAGTTCATGTGGCAAGTAGAGTTGCCTGATAATCACACAAGACTGCAAGTTTTGCATATTATTTCTTTTATCATAAAAATGAATCGTGCATTCTTTGTTAGTAATGACATAGCTCAGACTCTTTGATATTTGTTTTCCTACAGGAATTAATGAAGCAACTGAATGGAATTCAGGTAACTTGTAAAATGTTCTGAGTTTGGGGAATGTTAATACTGTGATTTCACAATTTGTTTTAAAATCCTGTTTTATATGTTTATTTCCATACCAAAAAAAGGTGGAACACTGGCTCTGGGTTTGCATGCCAAGTATATGCATTTGAATAAAAAACTTTTTTAGTATATTTTGGATACTGGAGAATTATTTTGCTAGGATCAGTGATTTTTCTTTAAACACTACATGTGCCTTTTGAGTTGTTAGGAAGTGGCCAGTGAAAACATAAGCTTAAAAGTATGTCAGCCTAAGTGCATGTTGCCTTCCCAAGGTGAGCAGTTCCTCAAAGGCTGTGCTTCAAGTGCATGCTTGCCCTTGTCATAGTTCCTCTTTATAAAAACAGCTGCACAGTTAATTCCCATGCAATTAATATCATGTCTCTGTGTATCTGATCATTAGATGTTTTTATCAGATTTTGCTGTATAAGCATTAGTTGCATTTTCGTACCCACTGCTACTTTTTAAGGCACTAATTATTTTTTCCTTAAGAATGCAGAAGCTGTGCACTTTTTTTGCAATTATGAAGAGAGCCGAGGGAACTACCTAGTAGATGTAGATGGCAATCGCATGCTGGATCTCTACTCTCAGATTTCATCCATCCCAATAGGTAGGAGACATTGTACCAAAATGTTTTGCCCTGTCCTCAAGCTGTCATTTTCTTATCCCAGCCAGTACCAGAGAAGTTGTTTGATTAATTACAAAAAACAGAACTGACATAATGTAAGCCTTGTTGCAATCAGGTTCACCCCCACTGCTGGGTATTATGCACTGGTAGTTTTGACTAGCTGAAGAAAACTACAAATGAACTGGAAAAAAAGAGTTGGTTATGTGTACCCCAGGAGGATAAAACAAGAGCCAAGCACTGAACTGTGAAAGCCAAGGTAGCAGGTCAGGTAGAGGGACCAAACAGTGGGTTTGTCAAGTGCTTGGGAAAGTCAGTTGATTTTTCTGTGAAGCATTTCAAGAAGGAAAAGAAGCAAGACAAAGATCAAGGCCCCAGCTGCAAGGAATAAGGTTTCAGTAGGTGGTCAGTTTGTTTCTTCCTTGCTCCAGTTGTTTACAAAATACATCTCTGCAGAAGCAAAAGAAGTCAAAGTGCTGGGGTAATTTAAAAGGTGGATGTTGTGCTATGTGCAGAAACTGCCTGGTTCATTCACTCTAACATCCCATCACACGTTAAGGCATGGGACAGTGGTGGGTTTCAGAGTTTGAAAAGAGTGGAAAATTACATAAACAAGGTTAATGTCTTTGCAATAATTTTTCAAGGCAATTTAGTTAGTTGTGTACATTTATTTTTCTTAAATCCTGTGATTTAAAATGGGATTTTAACAGTGTTCCTTTAACTCAATTACGTCCCTCCCAATGACAGCTAAAGTTTTGTCAAAGCAGATATTCAAGAAACAAAATGCAGTCTGGAGAGGAATATCTACTTGAAACACATTCTGGATGCTGACAGGTAGAAAGGGAGATTCTCTGGAATGCAATATGCAGTTGATTTGTCAGCTGCTGATAACATAATGCAACTTAAAAGTGAAGTTAGTATTGGAGAAAAAATACTTTATGCTATTTTATGCTACACAATGAAACACTTGCAACCTCTAACCTCTGCTTACAGCAGAAGTGCAGCACTGGTAGCAAAACTGCAATTCCTGGTAACATTTGCTTCAGCTATGAATCAGAGAGGGACTGAATTTGTACTGTCTGTATACAGTCATTCCCAGACAGCTCTTCCCAAGCCATGGCAATAGGAATGCAGCCATTAACTTCTAATGCTGAATTAAATGCTAAGAGTGAGTTTCAACAGCATTTAAATATTCTGCCTGCAAAATAGTTAACATCACCTTTAAACATTTAAATTGAACCTGTAATCAATCCCAGTTAGTCTAAGAGATCACGTAGTTTATTGGAACCATCTGTAATAATGCCTAATTTGATTAAAATTGTCTAAAAACCTGGTTGTTCATCTCTGTAGAGCTATTAGATGTGCTCATAATGTCATACATAATTAGAACTGAACCTAAGATCTATTTACTCCCTTGAGATAAATATATATACACTATGCATAGGATGTAATAGCAGGGGCTCCTGCAGTTTACCTTCTCTAGCTGATTGAAACTGGTGACAGTACCTATAATAACTGATCCTTGGCTAAGCCATCTAGCTCCTCCTTCATGTGTGGCAATACCTTCTTGAGCTGGTTTTTTTTTTTGTCCTAGAGGACATGTTCCTCAGTCACAAAGGAACTATAGTACAGTGCTTCATACAGCTTCTCAGATAATGGCTCTATGATGTGTAGCAATAAGATGGAAATGGAAATTTAATACTTACAGGTTGACCTCAATCTAACTGAACACAGCATTGATTTATTTTTTTTTGACTTGTACTGAATTACAAGACTATCTGAAACTGCAGAGGTTACTAATAATGTCCTTTTTGATGACAGAGTTAAGTTCTAGACTTGGACACCAAAACAAGATCACAAGGTGCTTGCTAGTCATCTGTGCTTATCGCTCTGCAAGTAAATCCAATAAAACCTTTTATGAATCTGTCGGGACTTCCCAAGATTTAATAATGATGTGCCACACTAGAATATATTTATCAGCAGAGGCTGAGATGTAATAAGTGCCTGTGTGGAGAGATAAGAATTAAAGTATGAAAAAACCTCTAGGCAAAGATGTTCTGGGCTGTTTCTTGCTAAAAACAAGAACTAAATGAGGTTTTTTACCACATGGTTTTGGGAATGTTGTAGCACAACATACTCCTTTAAACCTTTATCTAATCTGTCTAATAGAGTTAGAAACTCCATGGTGCCAAAGGCAAGAGGGGATTCTATTAATGTGTTTACTAGCAAACACCTGGAACAGTAAATGGAACAATCTGCTTTTCAGTGCTGGGAAGGTCTGGTTTTGTTTGGGGAGAATGCAGAGGGGTGTAGTTTGGTGTTACAGCAGCCTGCTGCTCAGATCCAATGGATTCTTTGGGCTTTCTCCAGCTTACCATTTAAGCAGCCTCCATTTTTTTTTCCTATTGCAGACAAGCACATTTATGAGCCCAGAGGACATGTACTTTTCTGTCACATTGATGTAGACACACAGCAAGAGTGATGATGCAGGTGCCCTTCTCATAAGAGCCAGCTCTGTCATTTCTTATAGGAATGTATTTGAGAGTGGATTCAAAAAGCTAAAAACCCTTGCGTTGGTCATGGCAATGAAACAAGTTACTGTGTATTTGCCATCTCAGCCTGGAGCTTTTTGACTTTGTCTACCATTGTTATATAATAGGGTTTTTAAACATTTAGTTCTTCCTGGTGTTTTTTTATGACTACAAACACACATCCCAGTTCAGCCTCTTTCCATGTACTGACCTACTAATTCAGAAAAGAGTCAAGCTTTAAGGATTCTCTCTTATTTTGCTGGGACCTGTTTGAAAATGCACCAGGAGAACAGTGAGTGCCAGGAGGAAGACAGGGCTATGTAGCCTTAAGTGAAAAGAATGGAAGACACATCTTGTGTGGGTGGGAAAGAAATTCTCTGTAATAGAAGCCTTGACTTTGCTAGGGAAGAGAAGATGCAGAGATCTCTGTGGTCCTTACACATCTTAACACCAGCAACAGGATTACACATTTTACAAGCAATACCAGAGTTAAGGGTTCAGCTTCCTAAGCAGTGGTAGCTATTTATAAATAAACTTCTGTAAGGCTTAGTTTGGAGATTTCTAAAACTATATATATATATACTCAAAGGTGCTGTCAGTGACAGCTTTCAACTGTGTTATTCCCTCTAGCCTAACAACAGTTCTTCCCATGGCAGCAGATGCAATGCAGATTTAGTTGTCTGTGTCCCAAATAACCACTTGTATTATCTCCATAATAATTTTAACAGATTCTTCTCAGAATGACATTCAGTTAAAAAAATCTGGATATTTCCTTGTTTTGAACTAAAATATTCAAAACTGATTTTATAATTGATTTGTTAATGTGGGAACCTAATGCTCCATTGCTCAAGACAGGATAATCAGAGCTATTGTCATTCCACTAGAATGAGGAGTTCAGGGACATGATAAGCTTTTCTAATAAAATTAGAGCGGTCTGATTTCTTGAGCAGTGGGGAAGCTGAGGTTTCCAACTGTTTGTACAAGGGAATATAAAAGATGATGTTAATATCTGGCTTTGGCACTTCATACATTAGAAATCAGGCTTAAAATTAAATTCTCTGGGCTCCTTTTGTGAAGCCCTTTTTTTTATTTTTTTATTTTTTTACATCAGATATGCTGGTTTACCAGTAAGCAAGAATGTTATCCTATAGAATATCAATGGGTATAAATTAAGCACCTTAAAATCTGAAGCATCCTTAATGTCTTGATGTTTCTGGGTAAAAAGGGCAAATGGTAGGAGCTTTTTCCCATTAGAAGCTTATTAAAGTAAGGAAAATGGGAATTAAAAATAACAAACTGGCCATGAAAGCGAAGAGTGCAGAATCTCCTTTGTTAATATGATGCAGCAGTTATTCTACAGGCTTTGTTATGGTGATGCACAGCTGAGGTATCTAGATCTATCACTGAGAAGGAAAGATATCCAGACAGATGTTTTGGGATAACTACTGGGTTGTGGCCAGTTACAGATTTGGGTGCTTATTAGTCCATGAGTCTCAAGTGTGTGGCTGTCTATTTGTACAGCCTCTTCCTCCTGTGGGATGGTCAGTGGTCACCATGAGCACCTGCAGAAAGCAGGGGTGGAATGTGCATCTTCATGTGTGCAAATCAGTTTGAGTGTGTACATGTAAGTGCAAACCTAGATAACATGGAGGCCAGTATGTGCACATCTCAAAACCAGTTTGGCAGCATCTTGCAGAGTGTTCAGCTAGCACTGCAGAGGAGGGGGTGATGAATGCTGTCCAACCACAGCAGGTGGCAGGGAGCACTGTCAAGCTGCTGGCACAATTCTGCTGCAGTCCCAGGGCTTATCCCTGCCGGGCCAGCTGTAACGTGCTCACTGCACGCATCAGCAGTGGAAGAGCCATCTCTGAGAACAGCACTGCTGTGCTGGCAGGGCTACCCTGCATCATCCTGCTGTATTTGCTGAGGGAGAAAAAGCCCTTGCTGATCATTTGTTACTACATTATAATGCACTGAAATCACAGTTGTTAAATGAGCACTCTTTGGGAAATCAGTAAATATGTGGATTTTTGCTTGTCTTTTTCTTAGGTCAGCTGTCCAAGACTGAGGAACTGCAGTAAAGGATAAAAGGGGGAATATATGTTTCTAAGATGATTTTACAATGAGGAAAAATCCAATCGGTTAAAAAGCACAGTGAGGGGGAAAGCTTTGTTACTGTGCTAGGAATAATCAGTCTGATATTCAAGGAGGATAAATATTGCTATGAGAGTAGAGTGTGGCACCAGCTACTGTAAATGGACACAGCTGCATGGGGAGCTTCCCTCTGAGGTTCAGCGTCAGAAGCTGTTTCTGAAACACAGGTTTCATGGTCAGTGCCCAGTGAGAGCCACTGAAGTTGAGCAGATGAGGGTCACAGTCAGCAAGAACAGTAAGCACCTGCTCCAGGCAGGAGGAACTGGAGACACCCCTATAGCACAGCGAGATGGTGACTAACAGAAACAACTGCATGTGGGCTGCACTTGTAGAAAGTGATTTCTGCTCTTAATTGATGGAGAGGTTCACACATCCTATAGAGAAACCAAATACACATGGGAAACCCAGAAAGGAGAACAGGCAAGAATTTAATCATGTCAGTCCCACAGTCCTTGCTAGAAATATGTTGTTACCATCAAGGCCTGTCAGGCAAAAGGTCCATGTCATGTTCATTTATTTTTGTGTTCAGTTTTTAACTTTCAGTACTGAAGTATGTTTTGTTATTGCCTGACACAAAATTTGTACCAAATTTCCAGATAACATGTTTTGTAAAAGAGAAGAGGTTTGTCCTACTTGGAAAGAAGTTCTATTGTTAATATTTCAAACATACACAAGTTACGCATTAAGTTAAGGTTATTATCTAGTTTAAGCTTTACATTAGTTCATTGAAGTCAGGCAGAAATAACTGTTTTCTGTCTTTGTTCTTTTTAATTAGGTTACAGCCATCCCTCTCTGATAAAGCTTCTGCAGCAGCCACAGAATTTGGTAAGTGAATTAAAATATTAAGCACTTGAAAGAGTCTTCTCCCTCCTCGTGGCGTTCATTCTTATTTTTTATTAAACTGATAACAAATGCTTAATGGCTCAATTTACAACATGGTAGGATCTGCTTTCTTTATTTCTCACTTGATGAAAAGAACTTGGTAGTGATTAAGAAGACACCAAAACCTCTGTGAAGCTTTACAAGAAGCAAACATTTGGGTGATGCAAGCACTTGGTGTATTTGCAGCCAGTTTTAAATCATAGTTCAAGCATGGTGTTTCAAATCAATAATCAATAAAAAATCACATTTAAAAAGCAACCAACAAAACACCCCAAAAAACCCTCTTGCCTGGTGGCTGTTGCTAACTTGTCCACTTGATAAGTGAAGTTATCAGGCTGCTAGCTAGAAGCCTGTAGTAAACAGAACTGCCTCCAAAGCCCAAAATGAATGGTGCAAGCAGGACTCCTCTCTCCCACACACTGGAGCATCAAAGATGTTATTGATGCCCTGCTCCCATTTCTGAACCTGCACTAACTCAGCAGAGGGTGGCACTCATCCTGTCCATCTGCCCCTGACTGTGCCCTTAGGATTTCTGGCAGGCTTCAGCCCGGGCACAGCACAGGCAGAACATCAGCTTTGCAGGGAAGTTTTGCAGTGCCAAGGCCAGAGAGCTGTTGGGAGAGCCAGAACGTGTGCAAACCTTGCCACAGGCAGGAGTGTGTTGGGCTCTGACTGTAAAGTGCCAGTTTTATTGTCAAAGTACTTTATAAAAGTAATACACAGAGGTAGGGCCCTTGTTTGAGGTTAAGAAAGGGGTTGGTGTTTTCTTGCAGGGACTTTTTGGTTGGTTGATTTGTAATGCTCCATGTGCCCTCTTTATAGCCAGCTATAAAGGACAGAATATGCATCTGTTTATTTGAGACCATAGCAGCTTGATGTCAATGTCCTGTTTTTCTCAATACTGAGAATCTCATTAACAGCAAAGGAAAAATACACTTTTCTGCTTAATGGCAATTGTTGTCAATTGACTGTGACAGCCTATAATAACATTCACAATGAATTTATGGTCTCATATCTCTGACTTTACATGAAAAATTATTTCTAAACTGAGATAAAAAGTTAAATAAGGTTTCTTATACATACGAAACAACTTCTGTTAATATGTAACATCCTTGCTTAGGTTTTTTTTAAGCTTGAGTCTGTTGAAACAAACATTATTTTGGAAGTAACTTATACAAGTTACAAAGTCCTCGATCATTTTGTTGTGTCTTTACAATACGTGGTTTTCCCTAAGTATTCTGATGGAGTGTTCTTGTAAGTGTGACACACCTCTTGCAATAGTCCACACATCTGAATAAATTAGTACTTGTATTGAGGAAAAAGACTGAAGGATGCTGATAAATGTGCCAGTTTGAGTTGCAATGAATATATGAATGTTTTCTGTCCCCTCTGGAGACTCATAAAGACTTAAGTCATCAAAGCAGAGCCTTTAATTTCAATAATGACTTGTTGAAAAACAACAAAAGGGCAAATAATGCTGCTTTTCAGCTGGCAAATATTGAGCTTGTCCTTTTCTGAGCAAATTTAATTTAAAATAAAAAGTAGCACACTGTGAATCAAATAAGATTACCTACAAAGATTAAGAGCAATGATAAATAAATTTTAATCCATGACATGTAATTTAAATTAATTGCATAAATATTATAAATTTTTCCATTAGTGGACTGGGGAGACTGAGGGTTTTTTTCCCAGTGCTGTTGTTCAGAAACACCTCTGTGGGCATCAGGCTCAGCTTTCCCACCAGCTGCAGCTGCTGTTCACTGACAACATAATTACCTTTCTAAAATGTGAATCCTGCTGTGGCTGGTCCATAGGACCATCAGGACAGTTCATGTTGGAAAGGGCTCTCCTGCCCAACCTCCTGCTTAGGGAGGGTTGGCTGTGAGACCAGATCAAGTTGGTCAGGGCTTTACCTGAGGTCTTGAAAACCTCCAAGGAGAAAGACTGCACAGCAATCTGTTCCCCTGCTCCACTGTTCTCCTGGTGTAAAAGCTTTTCCTTATACCCATAGTACCTCTCATGTTTTGATTTATTTTTCTGGAATCTATTCTACTGTAGTGTTGTGTTGCTGATCCTTGTGCATGTGTTATTTCTCAGATGTAGCCCCTATAAGTGTACCTTTGTCTTGTTCCTCCAAATCCCATGTGTAGGAGTTTTATAACCACACTGCTCTGAAATGTTTTTTCTTAAAGCTCAGCAAGGAAAAAAGTGCTGCTATTCTAATTGAGTTTAGATTTAGTTACTTAAACTGAAGACAAGTAGTTAAGATTTTAAAGTGTATTTCCTGTGTATAAGGAACATTGAGCGACTCAAATGGCATTATCAAAGAGCATCAGCAGGCACCTTTTCTAAAGTGTCCTGCAAGAATAGAAGTATTAGGGATTAGACAGAAAAATATATTCTAAGACATAAATATTATTCTCTGGTTTTAAGCCCTGTTGTGCCATCACTACAAATTTCCAACTGTTATTTCTAATTAGAATAAAATGTAACTGCCTTGATATCAATGTGATATTTCTTATGTGATAGTAAAACCTAACAATTTCTCTTCCTTTGTCTTTGTAGAGCACTTTTATCAACAGACCTGCCCTAGGGATTTTACCTCCAGAGAACTTTGCAGAAAAACTGAAGGAATCTTTGTTATCAGTAAGTCTGAAATAGCAGTGATGAGTTACCATGTCCTGTGTTTGGGGACACGGGCCTATCAAGGGATGTTATGGGTTTTAATAGGGAACATTACAGATTGGCTGTTTGTCCACCTGCCTTCACACTGCAAGTAAGGAGATGGAACCTTTGTTCCTGACAGACAGCTGAATGTGAGAGGGTGCTGTGTCTGCTCCACTCAGATACTTTCATTCTGGATTCAAGAATCAACGAGAAAACACGTTTTTGCTAACTTCTGGTGACTGTGTTTTCATAAGAGAGAGCAGAGGAACTGGCATCTCTTTGTCTTAAGTTAAATTTGAAGATCCTTGGGACTGAGTTGAGCCCTCTCAGCTGCAGCTGAAATTGGCTTTTCTTGTTGTAGGCACAGTTGGTCTCCCATTATACTGAAGCTCCTGATGTTAAGGACTGATCAATATTATAATCTCTTTGCACTATATTTGTGTTTTGCAGTAATTTTCTGTCTTTGTTGACAGGTGGCTCCTAAGGGCCTGTCACAGGTGGTGACCATGGCTTGTGGATCCTGCTCTAATGAAAATGCCTTTAAAGCAATATTTATGTGGTACAGAGTGAGTAAAATATTAAGTGATTTTTTTGTGTGTGTTTTTTGTTGTGTTGTTGGGGGTTTTTTGTGGGTTTTTTTTTGTAGATTTAGATGTAGAAATGAGCACTTATTCATCATCAGAATTGTTACTGTAAAACAAAGTAAGGCTTGGTGGTTGCCTTGCTCATTATACTATTTATATTCAGCTTAGAATAAAATTTTCATTAAAAAGCTTAATCTAAGCTTTCACTTTATAGACACACAACTTTAGAAATTATGAAGCAAATCAAGACAATGCAGATAGCAGTCAGTATGTAATAGCCACAGTCAGTGTCTTCATTAGCTCTAGTTTGGAATACCAGTATTACTAATTCGTGGTTCAGCCATAAATGCACTGGTTACAACCAAGGAAAAACTGTATGTTGGGGTTTATTTTTATTTTTTGCAGAACAAGGAGAGGGGACATAATAGTGTCACAAAAGAGGAACTGGAATCTTGCATGATCAACCAGGTAATGTTTGTTCTTTACCACACCTGCAGATGTACCATTGGCTTGGGTTTTTAAGGGAAGATTGGGAGGAAAAATTTGATGTCTTTGAAGTGGAATCTCATTTTTGTAAACTTAGAAGATGGTGAAATACAAACTGCTTCAAATAAATTTCAAGACCTGCTGCTTGTATTCTTCTGCATCCTTCCTAGTTGTGAATCTTGAAGATCTCCCTTTTTTCATGACACATCATTTGCTAGATAGAGTCCCACCTGATGGATGAGTCCATGGAGATCATTAATACATGAAAAAAAATTAAAAATAGCAACACCAGACCTTCAATTTTTTCTTCAGAAGCTGTTGTTTTATGGCTTAAAACTGATCAAGGGGTTGGTTAACATTCAACTGACTAAATGTTAACAACAGGCAGGATGATGAAACTGAGATGCAGCTAGTAAACCTCTGAGGTCCTATTCACCTTCAACCAAGGTGGTCTTACTCTTGCCAATCTCAAATCTTAACATGCAACAATAGCAGAGGTAAAATGTTGGAAATTAGTAACCTGCTGGTCCCAGCCTGATCTTACACATTTCTGTAGTGATGACCATTCAGTTCATTCACAGCAGATTAGGGAACTCATTCAGCCTTAAAAATGAGTAAGGTTCTGTTTTTTGTTTTGACTTCAAAATTCTTTTTTAAGTTCTGTGAAGTTGCTGATAGCCTGGTCAGATGGCCGTGCCAAAGCATGTAAGAGGATGGCACATCATAAAGGAATGAGAATGTTATAAGATGACCAAATATTTGTAAACCAGGTGATCACTTCTTGTCCAAGTTTAGCTATCTAAGAATGAGGATTCCTGATTGAGCTAATTGTTGGAGTTCTTGTTACAGCTGGGGGAGGTGTATGGAGGTGGATTTTAAGAGGGCAATTCATCCCCCTTTTGGGGACAAGGATGCTCCAGAATCCAGTTACAAATATTGTAGTCTTGACCCTATGTGTGTAGGTGGTGACAGTCCTCTCCTTTGCAGGGTAAGAGAAGCATAAAGAAAAATATTTTGTATTATTATAGGGCAGAGGCATTTGTATTATTATAGGGCATTTGTATCATTATAGGGCATCCTTTTATTAAATTCCAGACAGTGTACAGTTTGCATTATTTTTCTCCTGGTACCTTCTTATTCTTGGTACAGCAAGTTATCAGGAATGCATGGGGCAGCACTGGCCTCTCCTCGCAGAGCCGCGGGTGCCACACCTGGGCACAGCCACCCCATGCACAGGCTTGTACTTTGTACAGAAAGGTGCTGATTGTACTGAATGTTCAGCCTTCGTATGAGCTCATGTGTGAAGTGCTATTACATACAGTGTTAACTGCCAAGTACCCATCAGGATCAGTGATGTAGTGTAGGAGGTCAGGCAGCTTTTAGGGGACCACCAAAATAGGTGTTTCAATGGGTATGTGTAGCACTTGGCTGTGCTCAGGCTGCAGTGCGAGGCAGCAGCTGGGCTGGGCTGGCAGGACCCCTGCCCAGGCACACACTGACCTGTCTGCTCTGCTTCCAGCCCCCCGGCTGCCCCGACTATGCCATGCTCTCCTTCATGGGTGGCTTCCACGGAAGGACCCTGGGTAAGTGACACACAGGGCAGCACCTCCCTCCCTCTGCTTCCTCCCAGTGCTGCTGGCAGCTCACTAGAGATCCTGAAAAGTGTTCTCTCCCTCCCACAAATGGTACCAGTGGAGAAGCTGTAGGTTTACTGAAGGCATACCTTGGAAGCCCCACCACTAGTGAAACAGGGTATTTGAGTGACAGTGGGAATTAATGTTGTATTTTTTAGAAATGTATTTTTAGGTCTTATTTTCACTCAGAAGCCAAGGTTTCCTGTCTATACTAGTAAAAATCTAACTCCTGGTTTAAAATCACTGCAATATACAAACGGGATGTCACTCCTTTTTATATCAGCACAATCCCTGTTCTAAGCATGTTACACAAGAGTGCTGTAATTTTGAGGTTTGTGAGCAAACACCTGTCTTTGGACAGGTGAAGCCATCTCATCTAAGCAACCTGTTAAGACTGACAAAGGTTCTCCTGTTCTTCTGGAACAGTGCATGTGGTGACTGATGCTTAAAAGCTTGAGCAATCCACTTAAGCTTCACTAAAGCCAATTACCCAGTATTTCAGAAAGTAAAAACAGAGCATAAAGAGAATTTTACAGTCCTGGTGTCAGGCAATTTTTCATGTCTTGGTAGCTTTTTTCCTGTATTGTTCCTAGAGTGTTATTATTTTAATTGTTGCTTTTCTGGGTTTAGGTTGCTTAGCTACGACTCATTCTAAAGCAATTCACAAATTGGACATTCCATCGCTGGACTGGCCTATTGCTCCCTTTCCAAGGCTAAAGTATCCTCTGGAAGACTTTGTGAAAGAGAATCAACAGGAAGAAGCCCGTTGTTTAGAGGAGGTAAAAAACCTGATGTTTTTGTTTCAAACTAATGAATAGTGTTAGTAGGATAAGCTGTTTTTCACTAAAGGAATGTTTTCAGGGATTGGAACAGCGTGTGATTAACATTCAGTGTTGTTTATGGCCAGAAGTTTGTCCCTTCCTTTCAAAAGAAAAGAGATCTTTCCAAAGCATTAGAGGTCTACACAATTCATAGCAAAGTGAAATTTCACACACAGGGAAGTTTGTTACAGCACAGTGAACTTGTATGCCAGATCTTCCAAAGGGACATGGACTAAGAGAGAGCACAGTGTGTAAAATCTTCTGCAAAGAGAACCTATACAAATATTACAGGTTTTTCAGTTTTTCTGTGGTAGCCTTCTGGCATAGAGTTCTGATCCTTCCTATGGCTGCAGGGGGCGAATGGGCAGGAACTCTGTGCCTTCCCTAGCCCAGAGAAAGGAAAGGTGGGCAGAACAGTGTCTAAGGGGGGCAAACCATCCCAGAACCATGGGATTCCCTGTTTGGCTCACTGGGATCCAGGATCTCTCATTTGCAAGAGCACACTCTTGAGAGCTGCTGGTGGGATGACAGCACAGTGTGCCCTGTGACTGGAACCCAAATGGTGCACCATCTGGAGCATGGTGGGAGCTGTGGTGTGCTGGAGGGAGCACAGCAGCACTGTGGACAGTTGTGCAGAGCTGGATTCTTATTCAAACTGCCTAACTTCAGAGACAACAGAAAGCCTAGCAAATTGTGTTTGCTTCACAGTTGGTTGGGGATGGGGGCAGGGACAGTGATGCAAAAAATCAATCCACAGACTCGAAGGCATTATTAAAAAATAAATTTAAAAAAAATAGCCCAACACTTTACTTTATAAAGTCTTTAGATTGTCTTACTAGCATCCTTGGGAAACCACTGCTTTATACAGCCTACACAGGCTCTGGGCCCTGGAAGCTGTCAGGGGTCTTTCAAGTACAAATGCCACTCCTAATGCAGCAACTAGCACTACAAGGTTAATTAAAACTTCCCTGTAAGCCCCTTATAAGCAATACAATTTCAGCACTATTTAATCAGATTAGTTTTAAAGTATGTGAAGTAGATGACTAGGAAAAGCAAATTTACTAGATTGCTTTCTTTAATACATTAGCTGAGATTTATTTCCTGACATAAAATCTGTTTTCTTCTACATTCCCTTGATGGAGCAACAGCTATGGCATAGAAAGCTACAGTGGTTTCCACCATACTTTCAGCTGCAATTTGCTAGAGCTTTCATACCACTGTAGATAAATGTGCAACAAGCTACAATGAGTGTAAGATCCTATTGAAATTTAAGCATTATTCAGGAACAAGAAGGTGGTGTTAAATCCTGGAGGAACTACGTTAATTCCTTGCACTTTCTGACACCTTTGTGGCCATTAATGGCTGTGAAAAGTTCTGTTGCTGAGATTTAATCTTTCTGTGAGGAAATATGCAAATGTCCTGAAAGGAGAATGTACTATGAATGTTTGATTTACAGGTGGAAGACCTGATTGTAAAGTACAGGAAAAAGAAAAAGATTGTGGCTGGAATTATTATAGAACCAATACAGTCAGAGGGTGGGGACAACCATGCTTCAGATGACTTCTTCAGAAAGCTACGAGATATTGCCAGAAAGGTAATAAAATATTTCACTGTTCACTCAGTGTCAGCTAAATATGCAAATACTTGTTGGTGCTCCTCTGCCCCCTGTGAAGCTTTGTGAGCTTCACAGGCCTCCCTAGTAGCAGTTGGGGTAGTTATGTACACGCATCCCCTTGTCAGTACAATATTTCTCTCCCATTTGCTGCACACCCAGTAGTTTCCTTACTGCAATAAATTTTCTTCTAATGTCTAGGTGAGGCAGAAATTACTCTGATTCATTATTGATGGATTTTGCAGTAGTGTTCTTTAAATTATAATGCCTATGTGTGGACAGAGTTGAAATAATTTCAGAAGAGGCAGGCTTGGAAAAGGGTAATTTTTTTTGTTAACATACTTAGTTTTGATTGAAAAAAAAAAAAAGTAGGAAATTAAAAAGGCTTAACCTTTAGTTGCTGATGTTCCAGTAAAATAATGAAAAGGACAGATGTCTTGACAATTGGGATGTGAAGTTACCTGTTCAGAAGTGATGTCCCTCAATAAGACCTACTCCATGCTTTTTTACTCAAAGCATTTGTGGGCTTACAGAGAAAAGCAGAGGTGACATCTGAAAAATTCTGTTCTGCCATGAGAAAAAGCAGCTTTTCCCACTGTTAACAGCTGCTCGTGCAAGGGTGATGTAGTAAATATGGTGAAATAAAAAGGTTTGCCTTGTCTAAAACAAGATGCTGCCAAAAATAAATTGTTTTTAATTAAAATGTAGAGATATAAATAGTCTTAACCTTTAGTTGCTGATGTTCCAGTAAAATAATGAAAAGGACAGATGTCTTGACAATTGGGATGTGAAGTTACCTGTTCAGAAGTGATGTCCCTCAATAAGACCTACTCCATGCTTTTTTACTCAAAGCATTTGTGGGCTTACAGAGAAAAGCAGAGGTGACATCTGAAAAATTCTGTTCTGCCATGAGAAAAAGCAGCTTTTCCCACTGTTAACAGCTGCTCGTGCAAGGGTGATGTAGTAAATATGGTGAAATAAAAAGGTTTGCCTTGTCTAAAACAAGATGCTGCCAAAAATAAATTGTTTTTAATTAAAATATCATGATACAGTTTGATCTCCCTGTCCCAAAGGTTCAATAAAATCGTCCTTTGCTTAAGAAAATGTGTTGCCAGCTAAAATGAATAGCTCTTTCAGCACTCATCTGAAAAGCCAGCTCTTCCAGGGTCATTTTAGCCCCTGGACTGAATAGATCATGCTGCTGGTATTGCCTTTGTGCCACAAATGCCTGACTCAGATTAGAAGCAGAGACTTCTTATTTAAAACAAACAAAACTCCTAGAAATTATGCTCTACTTCCCTCAGAGGCTTTGAAAATGCTGCCTAGACTCCTTCCACATGTTTTCAGGTATCTTCTAGAAATGTTCAAGTCTGTATAAAAACATGTACTTTTGTGTGAATTTAGGTAGACAATATGTTTCTAGTGCTTTTCTGAAAAAAACAGCTGAGCTGTTAATTGTGAAATCTAATACACAATTGCTATGGGGGGACGCTGCAAGTAATTGGCTTGTATTTATCTGTTCACTAAGGGAGGGATTTTTGTTTTGAAAATGGACTCATTCCCTGCTCTTTGCATCTCTCTCCACAGCACGGCTGTGCATTCTTGGTGGATGAGGTGCAGACAGGAGGTGGCTGTACAGGAAAATTCTGGGCACATGAACACTGGGGCCTGGATGACCCAGCTGATGTGGTAACATTCAGTAAGAAGATGATGACAGGAGGATTTTTCCACAAAGAGGAGTTCAGGCCAAATGCTGTAAGATTTTCAATGAAATTTGAACTCTGTGCTAGTTGGTGGCCCAGTCATGAGTAACTGTAATGTCCATGGAAGAGATAAGCTTTCCTCCAGTAACCTGGGTTCAGCTAGAAGGAGCTGCTATTTCATAGATATTTGCTTTGTGCTTACACAAAAGTTCTTGTCACTTCTTCACTGTTATTCCAGTTGCTGTCAGTCACAAAGGTGGTGGGAGGTTATGGAGAACTGGGTTTAGCCTAATGAACTAACCTTAAATACAAAATCCAACCACAAAGTAGCACCTTTTTCTGCAGGGCAATTTTGTATCTTCTTCAGAGCTTTTATGTCAGTATTACGAATTCTGTCAGCAAGATTCCTTTGTTGTATTAATGACATTTTAGATGTAATAAATGGGGGAAAAAAAAAAAAAAAGGAGGGTGAGAACATAAGGCTTGACTCTCACAACAAAACAAGGGCTGGTGAGGTTAGTGCATGCTTCTTCACACACTAGATGTTTGCATTACCAGTTTGGTGGCTTGCTTTTCTTTATTATAGTGATTTGCCTGTTAACATGTTCCATAACTCTCTTTCCACCCTTTCCCAAGCCCTATCGGATTTTTAATACATGGCTTGGAGATCCATCCAAGAACCTGATGCTTGCTGAAGTCATTAAGATTATTAAACGAGAAGACCTTCTAAACAATGCAACCCATGCTGGGAAAGCACTACTGACTGGGCTGCTGGATTTACAGGTAAGCATTGGAGGCATTATAGACAAGAAGGATAAATTTGCTGATCAGGTAGGATCTGACCTCATCCAATTTAAACACTTGGACTGACAAACCCCAGATGAGGACTAAATTGTAATCCTAACTTGCTGGCTTAGATACTTCAATGCAAGCCTGACTAACTGTGTCCCATTTTGAAGTAACCTTTATTTTCCTGAGTTAAGGATGCTGGTTATATAGAGCTTAATCTAAAATTAAGGGAGACCCTCAAAATATTTGCAGGCATGAACTGCAGTTAGTTAAAATCGTTTTGCTGGAAGTTTCTGTTATCACAAGCAACTAGCATTTTATTGTCCAAAAAGTTATTTTTAATAATTATTATTCCGACAAAATATTTTGTCAGAATTCAGTTCATCTATTGAAACATGAAAACTAGCTTTCCCTCCCTTGACTAAGGGAAATTCCTTCACAGCCTCAAGTATGGAGCCCCAGATGAGAAGGAAAGTCAGCCAGGCATTTGCAGGCTTGCAAATGCTCATCTCTCAAAAGGCCCTTTGTGCACTGGTGGCACATGATAAGCCTCGTCTCTGCTCTCACACAACTTGAAGGCATGGCAGGCAAGAGAACACAAAGAACTTATAATCCTCATACTTTTGAGGGTCAGAATACAACTACTATCCAAAAACAGGTTACTCTTATAAAAGATAAGGATTGCAACTGATAGTAAGTGAAGCAGATAACACTAATAAGCGTGTCTTAGTGCAGCATAAGGATGGGCTTGTTTCTAGCTCCATTCCAGATAATTTCTGCTTAGGTTTTATGCATCATGTTTAGATGTAAGGTGCTTTACGCTCACTTCAGGAGGCTCCAAGTGAGATTTTGCTTGACCCAGCTGAAGGGTGCAAATTAATTCTAACTTCCTGCTCAGATGTTTATGTGCTTTGTGAGGAGAGAGCCTGCCTGCTGTAGAGTTCTGCAGCCTAGGGAACAGCCCCTTGCCAGAAAAGGGTGAAGAGGACACAAGGTCTCCTGAGAAATCCAGCCTGTGCAAGCAGCTCCGCTCCACCAGCAGGGAGTCGGCAGCAGGTTTCCATGTGGCAGAATGCCTGGCAGAGCAGAGCTCACCACCAGGTGTCCTCCGCTGCAGCAGCTGCCATGCATCCTGCCTCACCTCTCTTTCCAGGCTCGTTATCCCCATCTTATCAGCAGAGTGAGAGGAAGAGGAACATTCTGTTCATTTGATGCTCCAAATGATGCAACTAGAAACAAGTTAATTACAATAGCCAGAAACAAAGGTAAGAATGTGTTTGGATTCACTTAAAATGACAAACAGTAGCATAAGTAATGCTTTACATTCCCCTTCTTTGTATGGTGTATGTGTACTGGCAACAGGAGAGGACAGAAGAGAAATTACCAACAAAGTTCTATTTACACTTTTTCTAGAAATACTTGTATTTTCAGAGACAAGCTGGAAGAGGGTAGATTTAAATTAGATACTAGGAAGAAATTCTTCACTTTGAGGGTGGAGAGACACTGGAACGGGATGCCCAGAGAAACTGTGGATGCTCCATCCCTGTAAGTGTTGAAGGGCAGGTTGGATGGGGCTTGGAGCAGCCTGGTCTAGCAGGAAGTGTCCCTGCCCATGCTGGGGAGTTGGAACTAGATGATCTGTAAGGTCCTTTCCAACCCAAACCAGTCTGTGATTCTAGGACATCAGACCAGTCCATTGCACAGTGTGTACATTTACCTTTCCCTATAAGCCTAATGTTACTGGAAGAGACATGAGTTTTTGTGACATCACTTTCATAGTCCTCTGCAATGACCTCATATATACCTAGGCATGGCTTACTTCTAGAAACAGATCAGGAAAATTAGAAGAAAGTTAATGTAACCATCACTCAGAAAACACTGGGAAAAAAACTATGAATTTTATGGACTACCTAATAACAAAACATGAGTTGCCTGAATTTGGCACAGATCTACAACTACATTGTTCTTGTATCACTGAAGTGTTATGCAGCTGTAGACAAACCCAGGTATCAAGTGTGAACCTCGTGATCTGAAGCTTCACATTCTCTTTGCATGTCCCTGTGTGAGGGCCCTGGGTTTGCTGCTGTCAGTTTTTGTGGTTACACATATCTCTTGAAATAGGCATGATACAGCTAAACTCTGCTGAAAACAAAATGTTATAGTGTAAAAGATATTGGTATTTTTTTGCTCTTGGAAACAAAGCCAGCAGGGAGAGAAGCAAAGCAGTCTGTTTCACAGTAAACCAAGGCTATGCTTAGTTAAGAAGCAAGCTAAGTTCAGCTCAGGCTGTGGATTTCTGTTGCCCACAAACATTTCAAAGAATTGATTTTGGGGTAAAAAAGCCACCATGCATTTAAAGTACTGCAAGATGAAGTTTGCCAGCACTGATACATATTCACTTTTTATAATTAGAAATAGAGTAGGTTAAAAACAAAATTGCAAAGAAACCTATTGTGCCTTGTTCTGACTGAGGCACTAAAGCAGCAGTTTTGCAGCTTTGAAGTCTCAGATGCTGCTAAAGGTCTGTGCTGGATGGAGTCTTTCCAGTGGATGCTGGCATTAGTCCTAACATTCCAAATGTTTTACAGAATAGCTACAGGCACCTGTGGTGTTCTTCTCAGGTGCTGTGAAGCTTGAGTCCCCTTTGCACCAGTGACTAGGTGCTGTATCACAGTGTGGTTAGGGATTTGGGGAGCTTCTGCTGGCCCTCCACCATGAGGTGAACCTTGTTTGCAGACCTGCATTTTCTGTATATTTGGCAAAGATGGAAATTACTAAAGGACATGTTTTGTTCTCATTTCAGGTGTTGTGCTGGGAGGTTGTGGCGACAGGTCGATTCGTTTTCGTCCAACACTGATCTTCAAGGATCATCATGCACACCTCTTTCTGAACATTTTCAGTGACATCTTAGCAAACTTCAAGTAAAAAGCGGTTCCCTTGCACTGAACAGCTGATTATGAAATTAGTTTGCATTAATTCATGTCTTCTCTACTTACAAGATCAGTGTAAAGTCATAAACTAAGGTCTGTGTTCTGTCTGTAGTCCTGCCCAAGGCAAGCTGCTCCATGCAAATCAACCCAGGCAGAGCATTGGTACTGGTCACCAGCAGGTACATGCAGCTGTCCCACACTGTGCATTGGTAGAAGCTGTGGCCCTCCATCTTCTGGCTTGGGTCATACTAATCGCAGTCCTCTCTACATGCATGGTCCTGACTCTCTGGTTGTCTAAATGTGACCTGGTGCAGTCTGTGTTCACAGGTAATCCCAGTAGATTTACTCTTGCATCCAGAGGCAGCAACACCTATGGCACAATTACAGCCAAATGGCACAATACTTAAAGCCACATGCCTGCCATACAGAAAGTGCCATTCTCTGATGGTAGCTGGAATAAGAGGTGTTACAGGGAAAGCTCTGCTTTCCACCACTGCCAAGTACAGTATTTTTAGAAAATAAATTCCAGCTTTATCCCCATGAAGACAGATGTCCTGTACACCCATGGGATGAGGAGCCATCAGCTGCTCTCTGCCCAGCCTTCAGCCCACACACCCTGCTTCAGAGGCACAAGTGCACTTGGCCACACCTGCAGCACTGTACATGGCACTGAAGTACTTTTTTCCTCATCCGGGATTTTAACACTTTTGACTTACTTTATAATCAGATGTGCAGAGAGAAAACTATACCCTGAAGTATGTGATTTGACAAAGCTTAGAGAATCATGTAACGCATATTATTTCCATCTGTCAGCAATCCAGAATTATCTGAGATTTTACCACTTGCTCATAACACACAATAGCCATGAATTTATCTATTAAGGGTTCTATACAAATACTTGAGGTATTTTGTACAACTACAGCAGAATTGCTTAACCTTAGCCATGACCTGTCTTTAGAGCCACTACAGTAAGGGCCTAGTCCTAACTGCACATTTATAATGCAAAGTAATGCTATTTTTGTTCTAATAGTTAACTCTAAGTCATTGATACTTCAGTGATCTTCTAGAAAGCCACAAGATCAGAAAGTATCAACAGTTCATTCATTTGTTTTTCTTCAGGTAATTGTTTTGGATATCTTTTTACTATGTCCTCTTCGCTGTTTGCTTGAGGCTGACTTGAACTAAGTTTGGTGCCCTTTTTTCCTTGGCTAGCAAGAATCTGCATTTTGTTTTCTAAGTTTAACTTTCTGTTGTGCACCAAAAAACAGAGACCAAACTGGACTTTACTGTTGCCCTACTAGAATGTGACCACAATTTTCAAGTATGTAGTAAGAGAGCAGTGAAAATATTTACATATTTAATACAGCCATCAAAATGTGAAAGGTTTCTTACCTGCTTTGAGAAGTGTTAATCATGGGTTTCCCATTTTGTTTTTTGAATTGCTAGTATTGGGAAGCGTAAGTACATTCACTTCTGCTAGCTTAAAAGCAATGGGATTTCTGTAAACCTCTCTGCAGAAACCAGAATTCTGGTACCAGCTGGTCCAAACCTGAGTGGGTTTTTAAACAGAGGTTGTAGAAATCTGGAGGAAGGACTGGTGTATTGGTGTTCAGCCAAAACCTCGTTGTCATTGCTGTCCTCATAGGCCTATTATCAACAAGAGGAAAGTCACACCAAGAACTGTATTTGACAGCATTTTGGGAATTAGTCTGTTCAACATATCAGTGCAGTAGTTTTAGTAAATGTCTCTAGCAAGTCTTGTACTTTTACAGAAGCAAAGGTCCAGTAATTTGAAGTCTTACCCCATCTTCACTTTTATTATGAATACTCTAGGTGTTTTTATAATTTTTACTGACACTCAGTAACTGTATAACTGTGTACAACACGTTGATGAAACCACGTTAGAGAATACATAGAAAGCACTGCAGCTGAAGCATATAAAGTTAATATTGTTTACAGCATACTGTGGACAGTGCCAAATAAATGTTTAAACAAATACTTAACTACACTTCATGGTGTAACTAGTAAATGTACACAGATTCATTAAAAAAATGACATCTCATGTGTAATCAATATTCTTAAATAAAATATTTATAATTGAACTTCTCCAGGGATTTTTATTTTACACCTGGTACATGACTAAACTGAATCATTAGTGCATATTAAATATATTCTTAAGAAGTTAACCCTCAAAAAAACATGCTGTATGCACACGGTCGAATGTACTTTGAAGCTAAGCAACATTTATCTCTTCCTCTTGGTATTGTTGTATCAGCCAAACATCAAAATAATGGTCACCCCTATTAAAAGTTCATTGCAAACAGTAAATCAGGGTTAGCCTGTGCACTCAAACAGCAATTTTACTTACCTGCATCTGCCAATCCAACAACAGACAGAGGTTTCAATACACATGAGGAAGGAACAGGGAAAGGAACACTCCAAAGTTCTCTACTGATGAGGGTCAGTTTATTTGCTGTGGTTTCAAATGCAACAAGAGCCAGAAGAGCACTGTAAAGGGGTTAACTTTCTCTGACAATTAAAAGTTGTACATGTTACAGGTGTTCACGTTTGATCATTTCTTGGGTTTAAATCCTCTCCTCATTCCTTCTGAGTTTTTGGAAAAGGAGGAATCACACTTAACACCACAGAGCAAGACACTGTCCTTCATGGACAGAGTCACTGTTCAACCCTGCAAGTTCAACAGAATACAAAGTAGACACATTGTCACCTCTTAGTGTCTTATTTTTTTTCCATTTTAGGTAAACCCAGATTAGGGGAGTGGGGAGTGGAAAGGGTATTTAGCTCCTGAAGTTAAAATATGCCCAAATCAGTAAACACATCAAGGGACACAAATGACTTGCTTCACAGCCTGTATGGCAATCTTCACAGAAGACTGCCTAATTCACAGAGTCCAAGATAATTTTTGGTAACATTTACAACTCAAGTGTTACAGTATTGATTAAATGTCATTCACACATACAAAGCAAACACAAACATGAATATATGCAAAGAAGGACAAGCAGTTCCAAATTTTAAGATGATCGGTATGATCCAAACTAAACAAAGGATCACAGACTGCCCCTGTAGCTCCCAGCATCACAGTTTAGGTATGTTTCTCCTTTATTCCAGAGGGAAAGTAATTTCTATGAGACTCCTGAAATGCTGACCAGTCTTTAACTTACCCTTACAGCTGAACTGTCAATGTGTCCTGCAGCACACACACTGGTTTTGCCCAGTCGTGTTCACACCTGGAAGCAGCCCTGACACAGCATCACAGGCTGCTCTTCCCAGCTATCTCTATTCCATCAATGCATGAGCCTTTATCTCTGACATCCAGCATTATTTATCATACTTGTCTATGAGACAAGTCAATTTCCAGAGGCTTCCCAGACAACCTAAAATTTCCTGAAAGAAATGATGAATTTAAAGTGAAGATGCTCCAGCAGAGTTACTGCATTTCACCTCAAAAATTCTTCCTGCTTCAAAACAATCTACGAGATGGTCAGGGTCAGCATCAGTAATTCAGCATCCTACTGCGTGTTCCAAGCAGGACAGGCATGGAACTGCTGGTGATGGTGCACCATGCACTTCACTGTATCCAGCACAGAAGAGACACTGCTCACCCTGCACACTTAAACAAGCTGCAGAGACATTTAATGCAGAGGATCATTCTTTACCATTTCTACTTTCTACACTGAGTGCACTTATGACCAGGCTTTGCATAGAAAAATGACAGAAGTATGTCAGTTTGGTAAACTAATCAAACCTCACAGAACAGTAAGCACAATGAAGATGCAGCAAAGAAAATCACTGGAAATTAGCTGCTGTATCACTCAAGTTCTCCAAATATTTGCATAAACTTCTGTCTGTCTACAATCTGGCCAAATTTAATCGTAAAATATAAAATGTCTGTACTATTATAGCGTTTGAACTGGAGAAGCAGCTCCCCCTTGCTATCTCCAACTTCATCCAAAGTCATCACTGTCTCCAAGGGACAGTAAATGTCATTCCGTCTTCCCCAAAAGGTCAAGTGGGCCACTCTGACAACACGGCCAGTTTCACTTAAGTAGATGAATCCAATAACTCGTCTGAAAAAGTAGCTCATACCATACAACATTGCACCAGCAAAGAGTGCAACGCCAGTGCTGTACAAGAGGATGTTCTGAGAAACCTGGTCTTGCAGATAGAGGTAGTAGATGGGAGGCAGCATGACCATGGTGGTGGCAGTCTGCAATAGCTTCAGTCGAGACAGCACCCGGCAGTACTTAATCCCTGGAAACCTGTAGACCAGTTTGAACTCTTCTGTTTTCTCACCCACAGCCTTTTGTGGGACCACAGCAGCAGGGGCCGAGCGGCACAGACGCACAGGTGGCTCTCCCAGTCTCCCAAGGCACCGGACACCACAGACTCGCCAGTTCTGTGACTGCAAACACCCCCACGAACCAAAAAAACAGGGTGTGCAAGCATCCTCCTTTTGCCATGGCCTCGTCCAGAGCCCATTTCGTAGACATCTCCCGAAAGCTGGTGCCATGCAGACGTTAGTCCTGATTGTGCAGAGCCTCCCCTGTAAGTAAATATTCCCACAGGTCATTGTTCGATTCTTCTTTACAACCAAGTGACATTTAGCTCAGCAGCTGCTCCTTAGGCAGCATAAGCCTCCCTGCAATCCTGCACTTGAAAGCAGTGTTCTGCTAGCAAACTGGTGTTCGTGCTTGCATCCCTCCCTGCAGGCGAGGGGGGAAATATCTCCTGGTGACACGGCTGACACCAGAGTCAGCTTACTGATGGGAACCTCGTGGCATCCCCTGCCTCGCTAGTTTTGAGCAACAACCAAGTGAAAACAGCACTACGGGCTGATCCTAAGCAGAGGGCAAGAGAACCCGGGGCTGCTACCTACTGCATCAGGGAAATGTTGAGTAACACTGCGTGAAGCAGGAAAACGCGGACTGAGCAGCACACGGAGCAGGGGAGCGGACGCGCCACCGGAGGAGGAACGTGCGGGACAGCAGGAACTAAACCCAAGGAAGGGAACGGCCCTCCCGCGCTGACAACGCCGGCGCTCGTGCCTCGGCAAGGACGCGTCACCAACGCCGCCAGCGCGGGGCCAGGA